TCAATGTTCAAACATTTGAAGAGGTAGCATATGATCAAGAGCCAATGATACTGAAGGTAGAAGTCTGAGTTGCATGGAAGACAATGGCAAAGAAGAAGGCACTGGAATTGATGGAATATAAATTATAATCTTTCAACAAACTGATGCGACATTGGAGGCACTCGTTCACATATGCCAAGAAATTTGGAGGGTAGCTACCTGGCCAACTGATTGGAAGAGGTCCGTATTTGGGTCTATCTAAAGAGAGGTGACCCAATGGAATTGGAAACCATTGGACAATATCATTAAAATCACATATAAGTAAAATTTTTCTAAACATAATACAAAAATGACTGCAATCATACACTTACAGAGAACTTCCAGAGGGTCAAGCCAGAATCAGAAAAGAACGTGGAATGAGGGATATCATTGCTGACGTCAGTCTCATCTTGGTTGCAAGGAGGAAATACCAGAAACATGTTTCCCTGTGCTTTATTGACTACGCAACGGCTTCTAATTGTGTGGATCATTACAAGCTATAGACAACATTGTGGAGAATGAGTATTCTGGAACACTTAATAGTGTTCATGAGGAACCTGAACATAGACCAACAGGCAGTTGTTCGAAAAAAGCAAGGGAACAGTGAATGGTTTAAAATTTGGAAAGGTGTGTGGCAGGGTTGTATTCTTTCACCATACTTATCCAATTTATATGCTGAGCAAATAATTTGAGAAACTGGGTTATATGAAGAAAAACATAGCATCAGGATTGGAGGAAGACTCATCAACAACTTGTGATATGCAGATTATAACAACCTTGCTTAGTGAAAGTGAAGAGGACTTAAAACACTTATTGATGAAGATCAAAGACCACAGTACTCGTTATGGGTTGTATCTCAACGTAAAGAAAGCAAAAATCCTCACCACTAGACCAGTAAACAATATCCATATAAATGGAGAAAAGATTGAAGTTGTCAAAGACTTCATTTTGCAAGCATCAAACATCAACTCTCATAGAAGCAGCAGTCAAGAAAACAGACATCGTATTGCATTGGACAAATCTGCTACACAAGACTAAGATGTCAGTTTGAGGACTAAAGTGCGCCTGATCCAAGCCATGGTATTTTCAATAATTGCATATGCATATGAAAGCTGGACTGTGGAAAAGGAAGAGCATAGAAGAATTGATGAATTAGAGTTATGATGTTGGAGAAGAATATTAAAAGCACCATGGACTGTCAAAAAAAAAAACAGATCTGTGCTGGAATAAGTATAACCAGAATGCTCCTTGGAAGCCAGAATGGCCAGACTTCATCTTACATACTTCAGACATATTATCAGGAGGGTCCAATGCCTTGAGAAGGATATCATGTTCGGTAAAGTGGTGGGTCAGTGAAAAAGAGGAAGACCCCCAATGAGCTGGATTGGTACCGTGGGGGCAGCAATGAGCTTGGCGTAGCAATGATTGTGAGGTTGGTGCAGGACCAGGCAGTGTTTCGTTTTGTTGTACACAGGTTCGCTGTGAGTCTGTACTGACTTATGGTACCTAACAACAACAACCATCTAAGCTTCTATATCCTAGTTAGAAAATTGCAGGTGCCCTAAGGCTATACTTATGTGTCATCTGATACTATTTCAATTGCCTGTTAACAATGAATATATGGCATGATTATAATCTCTTATACTCAAATGATAAAACCACAATGACTTCCAAAATGTAAGTTAAATTTATTCTTCCCCCACCCTCAATGATGTGTATCTTTATGTGATCTGGATAGTAATAAGTGATTGTCCTCATGTCTTACTTAATTTTCTTAGGCGTCCTTGACACTGTCTTGTACAAAAAGACCATGAATAACTTAGTTTTAATTTATTTGTTTGTCTCACTTATGCTTGATTGGAGCAATTGAGAAAAATTACATTCATAAATCTTCTTGCCAAGATAATTAATTATGCACAAAATACTCCAAGCTGCTTCTGATTTTCATTAATGAAGCAGATTATCTGCAAACTAAGATGCTGCTGTAGTTGAAAAGAAAGGTCAACTGTTCATCTTTAAATGTAAAACAAGTGCACAGTTTTACTTCTGAAAAACAGTGCTAAAGAAACGGTGTGCCATACTTACATTTGTCAGGCCATCACATCCCAATTAAGAAATTTTTTGAAAAGTACGTGATTTACATTTACACCTTTGTTGTTGTCGTTGTTTCTTACTATTGCTGTAAATCTTATTTAAGTTATCATCATTCAGGTCGTATCATTTCTTCTCCAAAGGAAAGTTAGCTGACCTATTCTAGTACAAAAGTGTTAGGCCATAAGCACTTAGTAGCTGAGAAGCACTAAATGCATCTTTAAAGAGCCCTTAAGTCCTTAAGAGAGAACACACATCAGATATTGAGACATCTACATCATTATTCATCAATAATCTTTGCTGCTGTAATTCACCACTTAAATTTCCTTCTTTTTTTTTTTTGAGAGAGAGAGATTAAAATGATTGACAAAGTTAGTAGTTTGTTAATGCAAGGTTTCACAGCTCCTGTTGTTGTTAAGTGCCATCAAGTTGGTTCTGACTCATAGCAACCCTGAGTAGGGTTTCTGAGGTTTATACCACTGACCTTGTGGTTAGCAGTTCAGTGCTTATCCTACAGTGCCACACCAGGGTTCCTTACAGCTTCTACCTATATCCCCTTAAAGTAAGTACAGAATAGAAAAAACAAAAACAAAACCAACAACCTTGCCTATCAGGTAGTAGGTCTTTGTCCTCCAATGAAGTATTTTCTGTATATCTCTGGGTTCTATAATATTCTAGGGTCATCATGCAGACCATCCAGAAACAAGATAGGCCCACAAAAACCAACAAAGTTGCACTCAATTTGGGGTCCTTGATGCTATTCTTCAACATTGCATCAACACTAAAATCGAACTTGCAGAAAAATGTTAAAACTTAGGGAAGATCATTATATTTATACCTACATGAATTTTTATAGTTCTGGAGGACAACTGATCAAGTTGGACTAGGGCAGTGGTTCTCAACTTGGGTTGATTTTTGCCACTCAAAGGAAATTGAGAAATGTCTGGATATATTTGTGGTCTGGATATATACTGGGGGCTGTGTTGCCTGTCATCTAGTGCTCAAAAACAGAGATTGTGCTCAACATCTTACAAGGTGCAGATTAATTACGACTCAGAATCGACTCACTGTAAAAACAGAGACTGTGCTCAACATCTTACAAGGTGCAGATTAATTATGAGTCAGAATCGACTCACTGAGTTTGAGGGGTTTTTTTGTTTTATTTTTTTGTTTTAAATGTCAATAGTTTAGACCATTGGTGGCACTGTAGGATAAGTACTGGGCTGCTAACCACAAGTTTGGGAGTTCAAAGCCACCAGATGCCCTGCAGGAGAAAGATGAGGCTTTCTGCTCCCATAAAGATTTACAGCCTTGGAAACTCCATACAGGGTCTCAATGAGTCAGAACTGACTCCTCAGTACCTAACCACAAGAATTTCAGAGTTTGAAAAACCCTGCCTTCAAAAGGGATGGTTGAATGACCAATCATCATTTAAGTCCTCATTCTTCCAGCCTGAAATAAGAACCAGATTATTTTAGTTTCATATTTGTTTCTGCTGGTGTGGCACTGTAGGATAAGCCCTGGATTGCTAACACGAGGTTGGCAGCTCAAACCCACCAGCTGTTCCTTAGAAACTCTTACAGGTTTGCTAGGATTCAGAACTGACTCAACAGCACTTAACAACAACATATAACATATTCTTCCAGATCAAAAAACCCCCTCTACATTTTTGCCTCCTTAAAATCCCATCACTTAATCTGAGAATAGGATTGTTATTGTTAAGTGATCTCAAGTCAGTTCCAACTTATAGCTACCCTGTATGGGGCTTCCGAGAAGCAGCTTGAAGCTTGAAGCTTGAAGCTCCAACCTTATGATTCAAACTGACCTTGTGGTCCAGCACATTAACCCACAGCATCACTCCAGGATGCCATTGGGGCAATTCAAAATGTTACAATAAATATTCCACCTATTTGAGCTGGGGAGTCCTGGTGTCAATCCAGGATAAGCATTCCCTGAAAGATAAGCACTCAGCCACAAGGCCAGTTTGAACAGCAAGGTCGGCAGTTCAAATCCACAGACACTCTTCTGAAACCCTATACAGGGTCGCTGTTTGTCGAAACTGACTCGACAGCACTTAACAACAACATTTGAGTCCAGGATTAAAAGAGAGTTCTGTTCACTCTTACAATCAAATGATTGGAATCAAAGAACTATGTGGCAGGTAGATTGACAATTGATCAACGTTGTGCCCGAAGTCTGGGTACTATGCTCTCAAAAACCTGCGAACGCGTTAAACACTCTTCCTCTACCTCAAAATAAAGCCCTCTAACCACTGAGTATCTAGCCAAGGTCAAGGTAAGATTTCTTCATACCAGACCACTCTTCAAAGAACATTATCACAATTTGGGGCTGACAACCCTCCAACTTTCAAGAAAACTACAATTAACATTTCAGAATTTCAAAGAAATGTGTCTAAAATTTGTGATCTGAAATGAAGTGAGAAAGAGAATGTAACAATAGAATACAGTCATTTTCAAAACTGCCCAAAGGCATTTTCCTAATTATAAAATCAGTATTATAATGAGAAGAAATAAAAATCTTGGTTTTGATGGTAACATAGTGGGTTACGTATCAGGCCTGCTAAACCACAAGGTCATGGCATTCAGCAGTTCTAATCTACCAGCAACTTTCACAGCCTCACAAGGCTTTCTGCTCCCCTAAAGATTTAAAGCCTCAAAAACCCTATAAAAGGTGGCTATGAGTAGGAACCGACTCAATGGCACACCACCCCAACTACTTGGTCAAACAGCATGATGTTTTGGACCAAAGACTTCTGAACCAAAGACCAAAGGATATGAACACAACTGAAAAACTGTTTCAGAGCCTGGTTAATCCACATAATAACCAAACTAAACTGAATCAAGGACATCACCAATATCCCCTTACGTTACCTGGTTTTCTTGTTGGTCCCACTGACATATCTGCATAACCTGCTCCAGCTCCTGCCGCTGTTGTTTCAGATACTTGTCTAGTTGTCTTCTCCTGTCTTGTAGCAGTTCAAGAAGGCTGTCGATCTTCAAGCAGCTACTATGAGCTCCCTGAATCAACTCGGGATTCATATTAGGCCCATCACATTTGAATTTCTCTATGAATTCAGTGAGTTGTTGACTTTTGTTTAGAAGGGCTAGAGATCTTTCTAAGAGCTCTAGAAGAAAATTAGAGATAAGAATAGAGAAATTAGCAAGCATTTATACAGTAATATTCAGACTCTTCATAGACTTTAAAGTACAAAAACTTCTTTAAAGTGTTCAAGAGCAAAGATATCAGTTTGAGGACTAAGGTGGACCTGTCCGAAGCCTTGGTATTTTTGATAGCCTCATATGCATGCAGAAGTTGGACAATGGACAAGCAAGACCATAGAAGAATCCATGCATATGAATTATGAGGTGGGAGGTGAATACTGAATGTACTAGGGACTGTCAGAAGTACAAACAAGTCTATCTTACAAGGAGTATGGCTAGAATGTGCTTTATAAGATAGGCTGATGAGGCTTTTGTCTCTTACACTTCAGACATGTTGTCAGGAAGGATAGTCCTTTGAGAAGGACATCATGTATGATAAAATGGAGGGTCAACAAAAATGAAGAAGACCCCAAACAAGATGGATTGACACAGTAGCAACAACAATGCACTCAAACACAACAACATTTGTGAGGTTGGTGCAGGAGCAGGCAGTGTTTTGTTCTGTTGTACATAGGGTCACCATGCATCAGAGCGGATTTGACAGCACCTGGCAATAGATTTTTTATTAATTATAATTCATACTACAATAAATTTAAATGTGTAAACATGGACTAAAGTGCCCTGGTGGCACAGTGGTTAAGCACTCACCTGTTAACCTAAAGATGAGTGAGTGGAACCCACCAACTGCTTCTTAGAAGAATGATGTGGCAGTCTGCTTATGTAAAGATTTACAGCTTCTAAATTCCTGTGGGGACAGTTCTACTTTGCTCTTTAGGGTCACTCTGAGTCAACTGACTCAACACCAAAAGATTTGGTTTTTTGGTTTTAAATATAAACTGTCAGTAATAATTGAAAGAAAGAGCTAGTCAAATTACCTCAGTCTAACAATTGCTATGTAGTAAAATTCTCTTATTACATGTTCTCACAGCAAAATGTCCCTCTCACACACAGGTCTTATCACAGGTAAAGTTTTACATTTGTATGCAGTATTATTTGGCTCACGTCTGTCTTTGTTACTAGACTTTCGTCCAATCAGGACAGGGACCATGACTCATCTCCAGCACTTAGCACAGTGACTGGCACAAGGGAGACGCTCTATAAATTTTGTAGAATGTTTGAATAAGGGGAGTTATAGATTCTGGAGATTATCAGTCCCCAAAGAAAAAGAACAGCTGAGAAAAAAGATTTGAAATTTTGAGGTGGTGTGTTGCTGTGGATAAGCACCAGACTGTGAATCACAGGGCCGGCAGCTCAAACCCACCAGCTGTTTCTTGGAAACCCTATACACGGTTGTTATGAATCAGAATCAACTCCACAGCACAACAACAAGTGATGATAACAGAAGTCAAGTTACCAGGCTGAGGAGTAAGAAGATAGTGATAAAGTTAACAAGACAGGGAACTCTTTGACACACTTGTTGGTCTAAGAAAAGAAAATAATAGGATACTATTTAAAAATAATACACTCTTTTGTTTTAGAATGAGGAGAACTGTGAAGAACAGCCATAGAATAATTCTTGTTACCTTACCAAAAATATTACGCTAATAAAAATGGACTGAACTAGAATGGAAAGCCATCTTCTATTATTTCAGTGTTCTTTCCATTGTACTATGGCATCCTTAAACTTGACAATTTGTCAAATTGCAGTGATTGTGCTGAGGTAATTGAGTCAGTTGCTTCTTTTAACTACTGCCCTTTATTCAAAAGCTAAAAGAGTGAACGAGACAAGCGAATATATTGTATAAAGACATTTTGAGATAGAAAGGAAAGAATCCGAAGTCCCGTATGATTTAGATCTGTTCAGTAAATTATCGCAATGATATCTGCTCAGAGTGAGGTGGCTGATCATGCACACTGGACAACTTGATTGTGAGTCAAACAGACAAGAAACAAAACAATCACAGATTTGAATCAGGACAGGGGATAGGTCAATTAAATGAGGTAGGAAACGCCAGGAGAAAATTTACACTAGATTAAGTCTCTTGAGCAAAGCAAAAGAAGCAAACATGAATAAGAGATAAAAAGGGGCAGAAAAGATCAGTATAGAACAAGTTCTGAGGGATTGAAAGAAATGTGGAAATGAGGTGCAGGTAGGTTATAGAGGACCTTGCAGATCTAACAGGAACATTTTAATTTGTGTAAGGTTTAATATAAGAACTGAAATGACAAATTCTCCCTGTATAGATACTGATTTCCTTTAGCTTCTACACACACATAGGGCAAGTGTGGGCAGGTGGCAGGGTTTGCCCATGGTATTTCTTTTGTTTTCCTTTCCATAACAGTAATACATACTTGTCTTTTTAAAAATTATTATTATTGTTAATTGGGTGAAGATTTACAGAGTAAATACATTTTCAATTCAACAATTCATACAAATTTTGTTTTATGTCATTCATTGCAGTCCCCACAATGTAACATCATTCCCTGTGTTTCCTGTTTCCATTCTTCTTCTTCCCTAATCCTTCTAAATTTTGTCCTTGGGTAAATGCTTTTGATAGTAAATGGTTGATTGTTCTAAAGAGTATGTACCTACCTAATGTTATTGTCCCTTTTGCAGATTCATTTATTGTTTAGATGAAAATTAAACCATGCAGGGTGAGTTCAGTTCCAGGCCTGAAGGGTGACTAAAGGCCATAGTCTCAGAGGTCCCACCAGACTCTATCTGACCACTAAACCTGATTTTTTAAATTTTGGTTTCACATTTTTCTCCCACTCTATCCAGAACCTTCTAATGTGAGCCTTTCAGAGCAATTAGTAATGGTGGCCAGGTACCATCCAGTCCTTCTAATCTCAGAGTCGTGGAGGCTGAGGTTCGCATGGCCCATTAGTGTTTTGGACTAAGTATTCTCATGAATCTTTGATCTTTCTTCATTCTCCTTTGCCCCAGATGGGGAGAGACCAATAGTTGCCCCTTAATGATCACTCACAGCTTTTAAGACCCCAGCTGCTACTCACCAAAGTAGGTCATAGAACATTGGCTGTGTGGACTATGTTATAGCAATTGACCTTGATGTCATCTGAGACAATGATCCTGAGCCTTCAGGCCCAGTGACTCATTCCCTCGGGGTTTGTTTATGGATAAGAAGCTTTTTTAGCTTTGCCCCCTGTATGCTGTACTATATTCATGGATACATTTGCAACATAGGTAAATACATAATTAGAAATACCCTTTGTCAAACCTATATATATTCATGGGTATGGTACCTTCTCCTTCCCTTATCTGTTCATCCTGAGTTTGTATCTATTAATATATTATTGATTTTAATATTATTGCAGATAATAATATGCATCTATGTTGCCTTTAAATCTCGTATTACTTTCAGTGTCTTCCTTAGTCTTGATCATTTTGTGTTGACCTCCCCCTTATTGTCTATTGCTATCCTTTTCACCCAAGCTAATATGTGTCTACCCTCTAGTTGGTAAAGTGGAGGGTCAAAGGAAAAGAGGAAGACCTTCAATGAAATGGATTGGCACAGTGTGGGAAGCAATGGGCTCAAGTGTAACAATGATTGTGACGATGGTGGAGGACCGGGCAGTATTTCCTTCTGTTGTGCATGGGTCGATATGAGTCAGAGTCAACTCAATGGGAACTAAGAGCATAACAACAACCCTCTAGTTAGTGACTTGCCCTCCTTTTCCCAGACCATGGTAACTAGCATAGAACGATCTTTTTACATGAAAACCGTATCTTGCAATATAATATTAGTCTTCATGTGACTAATTTCACCCATCAGACTGTCTTCCAGGTTATCCATGAAATGAGGTGTTTACATTTATTTGTGCATTATTCAATCATGTGTATGTGCCACAGTGTGTTTGGGTTCTAGACCCTTGGAATGAGTAAAGCTGAGTGCCTACAAGGACTGGCTTGAAGAATAGACCCTTTGTGCATTCATAGACTAGCTAAAAGAGCTTTGTAACACTTGCCCCAGCAGGGCAGAGGCCAAGGGGCCATATGGCTGGCAGGCTGAAGAAAAGAGTGAGGCATACCTGCAGGATGGCAAACAAGAGGTGTTCCTGACTGGAGAATTGCTGCATTCTGAGTTTTTGTGATCTTGAATTGTACCCTGTTCACTTCCCTAGTAAACCCCATAATGTTGAGTATTGTTATGAGCTCTGCATGACCATTACAATGGATTATAGAACCCAGATGTGAAGCAGAGAGTGCTGTGGGAGGGATGGTTGGGGTCAGAACAGGGATAAGAAGGTTAGAGGGTAGAGTCATGTCTGACTTCGTCATAGGAGTCTTGGTCTGATTTTGAGTTTGATTCTCTTTCCCCTTTGTGAAACCAGAGGAAGTCAAACATGGCCATCACTTGGCTTTACAGCTTGTTTGTCCATTTATCTGTTAATGGATATATAGATTGTTTCTATCTGTTTATTCTTGTGGATAGCACTATGAGCATGGGTGTGCATATACCTATTCATGTCATGACTCTTATTTCTCTAGGATATATACCTAGTAGTGAGATTGCTGGATCATATGGTATTTCTATATCAGACTTTTAAAGGAAGTGTCATTCTGTTTCCCACAGTGGTTGTCCATTTTACAATCTTACCACCAGTGAATGAGGGTTCCAAGCCCTCAACAACCCTCACCAGCATTTGTTGCTTCCTGTGTTTTTCTTCATGTGTTTGTTGGCCACCTGAATGTCTTCTTTGGTGAACTACCTGCAGATGTCCTATACTTATTTTTAACTGGATTATTTTGTTGTTGTTGAGGTGTTGAAGTTTTCTATAAATTTTAGATATAAGTCCCTTGACCAATATGTTATTCCCAAGCAATTTTTCCTCAGTCTTTGGGATTTTTCTTAACTTTTAGTAAAATATCTTGATGTACATAAATGTTTAGTTTTTAAGAGGACCTAGTGATCTAGGTTAAATCATTTGTCTTGCAGAAATCTATCATTCGTTCTCCAGCATCATTTCTATCACCAAGTCCAAATTTTCCAACTATTGGTCC